GCCTTGATATCGAGAAAGGAGATCCAACGTGCGAGGTAGGTTGAGAAATTGACCTCTGGAGAGGCGCAGGAGGTGAGGGAACCACAGTTGGCGAGGCCACCAGGGAGTGATGAGGATGCAGGAGGTGGCATCTGCTACAATTTTTGAAGGACCCTGGAGATGAGAGGGAACAGAGGAAAAAATAAAACAGGGTTCCTGTCCATGTGTGAAGGAATGCATCTCCAAGATATCAGGCAGATGGTGGACCCTGAGCAAAAAATAGAGGGCACTGAACATTCTCTGAGGTAGCAAAGCTATCTATGGTCAGGTGACTGAACTCGAGGAAGACTGGCCGAAGATACCGACGATGGAGAGACCATTTGTTGTCGTGGGGAGCAGAGCGACTGAGCAGATCAGCATCGACGTTCTGAACCCTGGGGATGTGTATGGCCGATATTGAGACTGAATGTCGAAGACACCAATTTCAAAGGTGCAGGGCCGCGTGACAGAGACGAACAGAGGCTGTGCCACCCTGTTTGTTTGTGTAAAAGACGGTGGTGATGTTTTCAGAGGCGACCTGGACAACCTTGCCAGCCAACAGAGGGAGAAATGAGATCAGGGCTCGAAGAACAGCACAAAGCTCCAAGGCACTGATATGGAGCATCCTCTCTTAAGGAGTTCAAGTTCCCCTTGCAGATAAACAGATCTCCGGAGGTCGATGCCGAAATGGCATGCCAGAGAGGAAGTGGTGCAGGAGAGACCACCACGTCAGGGTGCCGAGTACTTGAGATGGAATCGAGAGTATGGTGTGCCAGTGACATCTCTGGGGATTGAAACTTCGCAGGAATAGTGTTGAAGAGGGCGCATACTGAGCCTGGCATGTCTGACTACAAACACTGTGGAGGCACAGTATCCGAGAAGCCTCATGATTGAATGGGCTGACTGTTGAGGGCATTGCTGGAAGGCTGACACTAGAGATATTATGTCCTTGGCCCTGGATTCCGGGAGGAAGCCGCCTCTGTGATGGTATCGAGGCAGGTTCCTAGGAATTGCAGAACCTGAACAGGTTGAAGGGCTGATTTTGCCAGGTCGAGTTGAGATTTCGTTGAAACCACAAGAAGCCAATCGTTGATATAGGGATAAAGAACGATCCCTCGACGATGCAGTTCTGCAGCGACTAGGGCCATAATCTTCATGAACACCCGGGGGCTGTGCAGAGACCGAAGGGAAGAACCCTGTACTGGTAATAAGTGGTTCCAATGGCAAAGTGGAGAAAATGTCGATGTTGAGGTCGGATGGAACCATGAAAATAAGCGTCCTGGAGGTCAATCGATGCTAGCCACCCTGACTTTGGAGGAAGGGGAAGGATGGATTGCAGGGTGACCATTCAAAACTTCTTGCAATGAACAAAACAATTGAGATCTCTAACATCCATAATGGCCTGTACACAGCCATCCCTTTTTGGGACTGTGAAATATTTGGAGTAGAAGCCTAGAGTTTGTTGCACCTCCATAATGACTCCGATGGCCCCTTTGCTAAGAAGTGTGACTACTTCGAGACAACGCAATGGATCAGGGGTGTGACAACGAAGTGTTGGAGGGTCAGGGGCGAAATGAACTCTATGATGTACCCGACCCGTATGATGGTTAGGACCAATGTTCCCTCTAAGGTGTACAGTCTCGTGAGCAGAAATTTTACCCTGTGAGCCAAAAGTGGTCCTAGCGTTAAAACTGCAAAGCACCAGAAGCCACCAGATCGCCTCTAGCAGGCTGCTGAGCCTGGCTCCCCCCCCACCTTTTCCAACTAACTTTGCAGGCTTAAGGGCACAGAGAGTCACTTTGCAAAGCACCAGAAGCCACCAGATAGCCTCTAGCAGGCTGCTGAGCCCGGCTCCCCCCACCTTTTCCAACTAACTTTGCAGGCTTAAGGGCACAGAGAGTCACTTTGCAAAGCACCAGAAGCCACCAGATCGCCTCTAGCACGCTGCTGAGCCTGGCTCCCCCCCCCCTTTCCCAACTAACATTGCAGGCTTAAGTGCATATGTGAGTCACTTTGCAAAGCACCAGAAGCCACCAGATCGCCTCTAGCAGGCTGCTGAGCCCGGTCCCCCCCCCACCTTTTCCAACTAACTTGCAGGCTTAAGTGCACAGAGAGTCACTTTGCAAAGCACCAGAAGCCACCAGATTCCCTCTAGCACGCTGCTGAGCCTGGCTCCCCACCCCAAGACAAAACAAACAACCAGGCAGCTAACCTCAGGAAGGGTAAAAGCTGGGCAACAGAGCACTCCTCCTTCTGGGCCAGGGTATCTCCAAGAGCACGAGGGAGAGGACTGCCGGGGAGGGTAGCAGCGCCCCCTTTCACAGGGCAAGCAAACTGCAGCTGAGGGGAGGCGGGGCCAGCCCAGATTAGAAAACACAAAGCATACTGCTGTGTTTCTGTGCTGCCTGAGCAAATGGATACGTGGTGCATGGCCACTGGGAAGGGAACCTCTCGCCCCTGCGCTGTGGTAACAATTGCTGCGCTGACCACGGGAAATTGGTGTGCCAGCGCAGCTTGGCGCAGCTTAAAGGGAACCTAGGTTAGGACCCAAGTATTGGTGGTAATCTCTTCCCAAGTTGGAAGGAAGGGGAAGAGTCGGGTCTCAACAGGAGGGGTGAAAGAAGGTGATGACAGGCGACTGAAGTGGTCAAACAGACTGTTTAGGCTGTGGAGGCTTCCTGGGCACTTGTTGCTTTGGCTTTTGAGAGATCTGTCAATAATCATAGGGTCTGCACTTCCATTGCAAAGTAGCAGCAGGGGAAGGCTGGCGTTTGTTATAGTAGGGCTTCCATTGGCAATACCGGGGGCGTTGTGGAGTCAAAGTGGAAATTTCTAGGTTTCTAGCTTTTTTCCTACTGTCATCTACAGCCTTCAAAGTTTCATCTGTCGTGGAATGAAAAAGGTCTTCACCATCGAAGGGCAAATCCTTAATTTTAAATGTATTTGTAAGCCATGCATGTCGGCGAAGGGCAACAGAAGAAGCCAGGACCTTGGAGGAACAAGTGACAGCGTGTTGGATTTAATTTATTTGCTGTTTGGATATAGTACATATCTGAGAAAGAGCAGCAGATAGTGTGGTTCTGCATTCGTCTGGCACGGTATTGAGGACTGGACGAACAGCCGTTGCAACGCTGAAGGCATATGCAGGAAGGTAGGAGAGATAAGTATCAATACGAATATTCATAGCAGCTACTGAGTAGGTCTTCTTTGCTATAGAGTCAATCTTGTGGCCTTCCCTGTCTGGAGGGACCGATTGTCTAGGTTGCTTTGATTTTGAGGAAGAATGAATTATCATTGAATTTGGTGAAGGATGATTAAATAGAAACTTTCCAGAGGACTCTTGGATTTTATAGATGGCATCATATCTCTTTGGTACCAGAGGTATCGAAGTGGGGTGATCCCATGACTCCTTTAGAAAAGGAACGTGCACTGGGAACAACGGCAGGATTGTTGACGGTGGCAAGTCTGCCTGGACCAACTTGTGCATGACGTCGGTCACTGCTGGAGTATCTGTGGTACCCTGCACTTGGAGGGCAGTCGCCATTCTAGTTATAAGCTCTAAATAGGCTTCAGGTCCTTCAGTTGGCGAGACAAAACCCGAACGAGGGCCATCATCCTCAATCAAAATAATATTGAGGTCAAGATCACCATAGATGGAGCGGTCAGACACCGAATTCGGATACGGTGATCTAATATGCTGAGACACATCTGGAGGCATGTTGACATCAACAGGAGAACAGTACCGAGGTTTTGATGGAGAACGCTTCAGAGCGTCCGCTGATGTCGAGGCATCCGGTGGCTGGTCAATGAAATTCCCCCAAACAAATTAGACAGAGGTTGTGGCCATCGTTAGAGGAGAGCTTAGCTGGGCAACGGCGACATGATTTAAAAAATAGGGTGTGGCCTATGCAAACATCTTCCTGACCAAGGGGGAGGGGAAGGAGGGGGGAAAGGACTAAAAAAGAGAAGAAAAATAGTAAAGTTTTTTTTAACTTTTAGAATAATAAGAAAAAGAACAAAGAAATAGTTGAAGAAAAAACCTGAAAGAGAAACTCAGCTAAGGCAAGTTGAAGAGCGAGCGCTGGAGAGGTGTGAACGCGAGGGCGGTCGAAGAAGAACTGAGTGGGAGGCGGCTCTCCCCCCCGCTCCAGGCATGCACACTGTGTGCCTGCTCCCCAGGGTGGGAAGAGAGCTCACCAAAAAAGTCTTCTGAGGCAAGCTCTGGAACATTCTCTGATCGAGGTTGTGCGCAGGTGTCCAACCCATGTGTGGGACTGCATAAAGACCACGACGAAGATTTACTATTACACTAGTTTATATGTCTACAGTATAGACATGCTCTTCCATACACTCTATCAAGTTTACTGATTCATCAAGCATAATTAGGTGCACACTTTCTGTTAAATGAAAATGTCTAATAACTGCACAGGGAAAATCAGTTTTCAGACCTTGTGCATACTGGATTCAACTGCTTATATCCTATGACTATGTTCAAATAATGCAGCTGTGGAAATGTATCTTCTCCACCTTTTACCCCCAACATCCTCCTGCAACACCCAAATGAGGCACCAGTGGAGACTGTGGGGCCCCGCAAGGACTAAAAGGCACCAGGCATGGAGGAATGCAAAGAGGAAAAAGAATCTTCTGTTCACATAAGGGCATGATGGGGCAATTTTGTTCGATTTCCACTCCTCACTTTGCCCCCCCCCCGAATGAATGGCTTTTTGTCCCAAGGAACCTCAGGACCCTGATAATGCCTTTTCAGAGTTTGCAGAAGGCTACTGTGGGTGGAGAAAGGAAAGGGAGATTCAACTCCATGGGGACCTTCTGCTCAGGCGACTATACGATCCAAACCAGCAGGACTTTGAATCATGGTTTTATACTCTGAAGATATAATTTTTAAAATTATCTTAAATTGTTCCTAACACACAGTGTGGGTTTTAGTCTAATGGAGAAAATAATGGCTAAAATGCAGTTTTTACCTGGCCTCGTCACCGGCTGCGCTGCTGGGGTCTGAGTCTTCCGTGCCGAAGCTCCTTCCTTAAGAAAGAACAATGATAAACTTTATTTTCACATGGGCTTTATTGATGTATAATATATGCATTATAAATGAACACTACAGCAACGGCATGCCAATAATTCAACACTACAAATCCAGAGGAACAACTGTCTTTTTCTTTTAAAAACAGTAACCGAACACCATTTTATAAACTATGGAAAGCAAGCTAACTAAAAGCATTTCTGTAATGACTGAAATCTTAGTACAGCTTTGTGAACAATTATACATTTACATACAAGAAAGTTTCAGGTTGGTAGGCGTGTTGGTCTGAAGCAGCAGAACAAAGTTTGAGTCCAGCGGCACCTTTAAGACCAGCAAAGTTTAATTCTGGGTGTAAGCTTTGGGATGCTCAGCATCCCAAAATTATGGTTACATTAAGCTCCAATGTTGACATATTTATTTCCTTTAGGGTTTTTCTCCCAGAATTGAACCCAAACAAATGGTAACCATATAAATTAAGCTTATTATCCCTGTTTGATCCTTGAATCTGCAAAACATCTTCATTATGCTGTATGATAATTTATTGCTCACCCTCTACCAATATGTATGGACTGGTAATTTCCTATATGCAATGGTTAAGGAAATTCTGTTTCATTGTATCTGAAGAAGTGTGCTTACTGGACTCAAACTTTGTTATACAAGAAAGTGTTCACTCATGGGTCTTCAACAGTAACTTGTGGCCAAAAAGCCAGTGAGGTTTCCTTGCCTGGAGGGAATTCTGAGTTCTCATATGCGACCAGCTGAGTAGATATTTACCAGTCTAATTTACTAAATAAAGCTGCATTATTAAGAATTTTTACAAGAATACAAATCATGGCTCTTTGAAGCAAAGAATAAGCCATTTCTGCTTACTGAAAAATGTCTTCACAAGCCAAAATTAACTATCATAATGTAAAAAAAGCAAATGATTCCTGCTATAATAAACCCATGAAATGCCAATGGATAGATAAATATTGCTAATGCCAATTCAGGTACCTGTTCTTATGCAGATAATCAGTTGCCAACTGTCAGAATAATCTTTTAACCCATGTGAACCCAGCACATTATTTTAAAATTGGTTATGGGAAAGAAAGTGAATGTCAAACAAGGAGGTACCATTTTAATGGCACCAAAGTTGGATAACACCACACAGATAGTTGGAAAAGAATAAAATTCCTGCCATAACAGGGTGTACATGGTATTTTTTTCCTGGAGAGATAATTTGTGTACATTCATCACTTGACTCTGGCTAAAGTCACACCATACTGACATGATTATGTGCGTTTAGAAGCAACACATCAGATGGTTTCCAAATGAACATGACCCATTTTAATGGCATGTTTCTTAATTAAATTAACTTATCTACAGAAAGGCAAAATGAAGCCACTGGTTCTTTAACGACTTATCATCAAGTAACAACAGCTGCTATGCAACTTCTCTTCCTTTCACCACAGCTGTGCATGGCAGTTTGAGCAGGAAAAGTCCCACTGAACTAAACCCAAACCGAACAGCAGCAGTGCTTAGTGGATTATATCTGTGATTTAATAAGTAGCTTTTGACAATGGCTACTGCTAAACCAAATCTGAATTAAATGTTCTCTCATGACAATTAAAATCCCATATGGCTCTTTGAAGCAATTCAGTATTGTAGACAAAGATACAACATGGGCCATCTCTCATTTGTCCAGCTCATAAAGATTAAAATTTAGTTAAATATCTCCCTACTGAACTGTAGTAAAATATGCCTGATTAATTACATATGGTGAATAATCATTGCTTGGCATACAACCATCAACTTCTTCAACATGTGGATGAAAGTATCCGGTCTCCTTTCTCTGTATCCTGGTCTGCATTTCTCTGCAATGGCAGCACTATAGATTTTAGCCCCTTTAAAGCAAAAGATTTAGTCCCATATTTCTGTTGTCTGTCTGTCACAAAATGGTAATTCACACAGTCTGCTGGAATGCTAGTTACAAATCTTTATTTCAAATAAACAAGGTGTGTCAATGGCCTACCAAAGTAGCATTTTAATGTCTTTCATTGTGATTAATGTTTTGTGCAGTTCTTACTATGGAAATGAGCGGGCCATGCTGAATAAACAGGAGGACCATGCTTAGCTATAACATTCTACCACCTTCTTTCAGAGACGTTGTAAGAACCTGTCTTTGGAAGGGAATGGGTCTATGACTATAAAACAGAAAACTATTAGATTAGAAGTTATCTAATAAATAAAAATCTGAACCCAGAAGACATCTAAAAGTTAAACTTTGTGAGCATCATTCATGCTTTCACAGCCTCATGAGTATATGAGACTGCCCTGCTGTTAAGCTGCAGCTGGTCTAGAACATCACAGCCCTTTCTGATAGTAGTACACTGCCAAGAACACATTGCACCATAGCTTCAACTACTTGCAATGTATCCCTGCTTGCTTCTGAATGTAATGATTGCTTAGCTACATAAAACCCTGAATTATTTGAGTCCAGAAACCTCCTTCCCATAACCCTCTGCCATTTTAGCCAAGAAAGTCTCCTTGACAGTACCAATTGCATGTCTACTCCATAGAAAAGATGCTTGCATTTTTTATTGTTGTATGCCAGTTTGAGCCCCCACTGAGGAGAAAAATGTGTTGCATCTATTTAAATAAAATAAAACCTCAGTGGTTGTTCCAAAATGGTGGAACTCCCCTTCCTTAGGAGGAAAGCCCAAGTAAGTGCATTTACTAGAAGTACTATAAAATGTCTTCGAACTGGTCTTTGATGATGCAAGATAAAAAATATATATCATAATCTCACATAATGTGTCGGTTCAGTGGCAATTTCAACTGATGGAAGTTATCTCCATCAGCAGAGTGAGACTTTTCTGTCACAACATTAAATGCTCCCTGAAATGCTGCTCGTAGGGGACAAGAGGAGTAAGTCTTTTTTAAAAAAAACCCTTTGTGTTTATTCCAAATTTTTCAACAGTACAGGGATATCATACAGTGCCAATGCAGTATGTAGTGTTAACCAAACAAAAAACCCCCAGAACTGAACAAAACCTGAATACAAACATCAAAAACAGTGTGGAAATCTGAGTTTAATAGTAGATGAAGGGAAATCAATGAAAATCCCTCTCTTCTGTTAGAATAAATCTACTGCTCAATCCAACCTATTACAATGTTTTTTTGGTTTTGTCTTACTCCCAACCCAAGTTATAATAAGGTTAAGCAGCTAAGATAAAAAGGAAAGCTAGCTCTAATTTATTTGAGTATGAAAACAATTCCATCTTCCAACATGCAGCAGAATGGGTGTAAATTATGTTAAACTGTGATAAAAGATTCCCAAAAAGGCCCTCTTAATCATAAACAACTCCTAGACATGATCAAAGATCAAGGATGAAAAAGGTTTCATTTTTTAAAAAAGTTGTTGTGAGGCTAAGCACCCTAATTTCATCAAGGATTACCGTGATTATTATAGGACCTAGTCTGGCTTGCAGGTGTTTGTGATTTGAGTCTTCCTGCAGCTATCATCCTGACCTTTTCTGAGCCCTGACTTTGGGATGAGGTAATCGGTAATCACAAGAAGCTGTGCTCAGCTGTATAATCAGATAAGAGGGGGGAAGTAGGAGCTGACATTAAAGTCTTCTGGAAAGTTCCATCAAAAGGGATTCCTGATTGGATCCAAAGGACCATCTGATGCCAGAGGGCAAAAAGCTACAATAGGGGTACAGACCAAAGGGAAGCCATGCTAACTTTATGCTTGTGCCATGTTCGTACGCTTTGATATGTTATGCTTCATCATGATAGGCTGCAACATATAGAATGCTTTAGGCTACAGCTTGGATTCTTATGCTGTAAGAAGATAGGCCATCTAATACCAGGTATGAAATGTATTAGATAAAACAGTTAGCTTTTTTATTTCTCTGCACTGTACTGTGGTTTTCAAAAAAACCTTTGAATAAACATATATATATATATATATATATATATATTTTAAAAGGTCTGCTTTATTTGTGCACATTTAACTAAAAGGACCCACAGGGCTGGGTATTGCCCAAGAAAGAAGGAGCAATGACCCTGGGAGATTCAGGCTTGGGTTTCTGACATGGTGGCAGCGGTGGGATGGAGGCCTTTGAGCACAAGTAAACCTGCTGGCAGTGCACTCTCATAAGTAACATGATTGTTATTTTGATTAATTAGAATAGAGAAGCCAGGAAAAGATGGCAGCAGCAGAGATACCAGGGGCGTCACTTGTTATTTATGCGATGAATGTTACCCTTGGTTATGTTTCAGAGTTGCAAACTGATGATGAGATGATGGCTGAAGAGAAGAGAATGTATGGACAAACACCTGACCACGATCTCCAAGGTACTCTCCTCTCCTGTAAACCTTATTCAGAAGTGAGAGAAGAAGCTGGTACAGAAATCCATGGCATGTGATATTCCAGTGGAGCTGTTTGGGGCTGGAAATGACAGAATGGGTGCTGGTCTAAGCCCAAATTAATGTGGAAACCTGAAGACAGCAGACTGAAGTTGGAAACAACAGTGCCACAGGAGGAATTCAGCCTGGAGACTTGCAAGGTATTCTTATGGTCTTCATGAATTTATAGACACAGCAGATGTATTTATTGCTTTGCAACTGTGAAGAAAGCTGGGAGAAGCAGAAATTCCCTTTGTTTCCAAGTGGGCAGCATCTAATGCTGTATTTCAATCTCTTTGAAGCCCCTTGTGAGGATTTTGGAGACCCACAGCAGGAGTACATGAGGATTCTCCGTGCAAATGTGTGTGGTGAGTTGAGTGACCTTTTGGGAGAGACTTGTCCTGTCAGAAAATCAATCATGGCTGCAATTTAGGAAGGCAAGCCCTAAGCCTAAAGAGTTTTTTGCAGCTTACAGGAGTCATCTAAGTAAACTTCTGGACTCATGGGTCGAAAAGGTATAGGCCTCTACTGATGCCCAACTGATGGGCATTTGGAATAAGGAATAGTTTTCCAAGCCTTACCGCCAGACATTGCAGCCTTAGCGCAA